CGGCAGCAAGTGCAGCCGGGCTGATGGCCGAGTGGTGTGATGTGCCGAGTGTGGGCACTCAGGGCACTCCAACCAGGACTGCTTTGCAAGCGGGGAACCCCTGAGAACTGTCTGTCCGGGGTGGGGGTCGGGTCCCTTTAAGCACAGCCCTCGGCTAGCCTGAGACAGCATCTCCACGCTCTAAGTCGTCATCCGATGCCCTGCCGGCACTGCTTCCGGCCAGCCTTAACCCCGGTTCAGGGTCCACTCAGTGTGAACATGCTAGTTCGAATTAGCAAAATGCTCATTCGAACTAGTTTTTTAGTCTAGATGCGCTAATTCGAATTAGCTTAGTTCGAATTAACTAATTCGAATTAAGTTAGTTCGAATTAGCTTAGTTCGAATTAACTAATTCGAATTAAGTTAGTTCGAATTAGCTTAGTTCGAATTAACTAATTCGAATTAAGTTAGTTCGAATTAGCTTAGTTCGAATTAACTAATTCGAATTAAGTTAGTTCGAATTAGCTTAGTTCGAATTAACTAATTCGAATTAAGTTCGTTTGAATTAGCGCTGTAGTGTAGACAGACCCTCAGACACTGCTACAGGGAACAAGTGCAGTTACATCAGACGGGGCCGGGCAGAAATCCTCCCTCAAGGACCATGCCACCCACTCACTGGGGGTGGGCTAGAACCCCCCAAGGGGCTGGCCACCTTCCTCTGAAGCCTCTGGGGGAGAGGGGATACTGAGCAAGATGCTTCCCGGATCTGATCCAGGAGGACAATGCCTGGCTCCCCACATGCCCCAACCGCGAACTGACGCAGGCTCCATCCCTACAGCCTGCCGCCCAGTGCTCCGGGCGTCCCGAGCAAGGCTGTGTGTGGCTTACTTCTACAGCCCGGCCCTCTCGGGGCCCGCCGTGCGTCACACATCCCGGGTCTCTCAGCCCGTTACAGGCCTTTGGCTCCCCACGTTTCCCTTAGACGTTCTGCCAGCAGCGTGCTGCTCAGCAAGCTCCCCGGCTGAGGAATTTGCTCTCCATTTCAACCCTGAGGTCCTGTTTGGGGTGGATTTTAAAACTAAAATAACAAACACATGTGGGCTCTGGCACTTGGTCTCTCTCGAAGTGCGGGGGTGCGGTGCGTACTCTCGCAGTGCCCTCCCGCACGCCCCCCTCGCCACGGGAAAGCAGCGCTTCCCTGGGAGTGCCCCAGCGAGGGCGCCCATGCTTCTGCTGACCAGCCACAGCCACTGTAGTCACCCTTGCCCTTCCTCTCTCAAAGGGGGTTGCACCCCCAGCACAGCGACGGCAGAGACCTCCACTCCCCTCACCTGGCAACAGGACTCTCTGCTCCTGCGCCCACATCGCAGCCAGGAACTGGTGAGGCTTGCGTGCTTCCGAGGTAAGAGAGGGCAGACCCCGAACAGTCCAGCAGGACAGAAGAAAAGCCCTTACTCTACGGACCCCGCCCTGTTTAACCATGGGGCGGTATGGAGAAGAGAGGCCCCACAAGCAATCCCTCAACTTCAGTGTGGCCCTTGCTCGCCTCGAGTAGTGACCTCCACAGCAGAGTTCAGACACCAGCCCTGCCTCATTCACGTGCATCCCCCAGCCTCCCGCCTGAGCCTCCCTCTGTAACACGCCACCCGCCTGGGACTGCTCCCCAGCCATCAGGAGGGGGCAGAACTCTCCCTGCCCCTGCAACTCCTACTTGCAGACAGGCATTAGCAGCAGCTTTTCTTGCAGGAGGGAGCGTGTTAGCAGTGAACCACCAGGCCTCAGGGCTTCCCTGGCAGGCAGAACGGCCCTCACCCCCCTGCCACCAACCGGCTTCTCCCAGCTCCTCAATGCCAGTCTGACCCACTGCCATCCTGTGCAGAGACCAACATCCCCGGGCCTCAGCCTCCAGTGAGCGAGGCGCACACACAGCTGGGGCTGCGTGTTTCC